CGCGGCTCGCGGCTCCCGGCTCCGGCTCCGGCCCGGGCCCCGGCGCCACGCTTAGCTCCCGCAGACATCCAAGTTGACTTTTCTCATTTGGCACTGAGCGAATTTTTTAAAACTAAACCATCAAAATCTCCCGAATGAAATAAAACGAAAACACGCTCCTAAAGAATAGTCCCAACCTTTCTGAGTCCCAAAGCCGAGGAGGCCCCGAGGCTCGGCCCCGGGCGGGTCTCCGAGATCTCGGCTGCGGCTCCTCAGCCCTGCCGCCTCGCTCTCCTGCCTCCGGGTCTGGCTCTCGGAGCTCCGGGGAGGTGCAGCATCTCCCGGACTGTCCTCTGACCCTGGAATCCAGAATGAGACTCGCACCATGCTAGACCCAGGCTGGCCAGCTGATTCCAGCCCGCCATTCCGATCCGGCAGTAAGCCCCGAGCGGGCCCAGCTGCCGCCTGACCTGGGCTGGGAGCCTTGTTCGGGCCCACGGAGCGAGGAGCTCCCTGCTCACACACCGCTCTAGGCCTTAAAGCCAGAAGAAAATCACAGTCCCCACGCCTCCACCCTTCGACTCAGCCACCGAGAATCCAGGCCTCAGGTTCACCCTCTTCCCCCGAAACTTAAGGTTCTTGTTCGGCTGTAACCCAGTTCCCCAAGCAAACATCTTCTGGTTTTATTTTTGGGAGTTTCAGTCCCCGTGGGCATATCCCCTGAATGAATTTTGGGGAGATTCAAAAGAAGCAGGTGTAATTCTAGGGGGGCCTGGATTTCTTTCCTGGACATCGGCTTTCATCTGGGATGAGGGAGAAAGACAGTCACCAGACCTGAGGATAGGGCCGATGGGAAACCCTATAGTAAGAGAGGGTTTGACAAGCGGAAATGGGATCCCCCAGGAATAACAACCACAGGTGGGGTCTCCCAGGCAGTGAGATGGGGGCAAAGCAGCGACAGCAGGGAAACACAGATGGGGAAGCTCCTGGCAGTGGTGCGTGCCCGGGAGTGGGGTCCTCAGACATAAAACCGGGTTCCATGGAGTCTTCCCCTTCCCCTTTCCCGCAGGAGGATGTTTCCCCCCTTCAAGGTGCGAGTCAGCGGCCTGGACAAGAAGGCCAAATACATCCTGCTCATGGACATTGTGGCCGCTGACGATTGCCGGTATAAATTCCATAACTCGCGCTGGATGGTGGCGGGAAAGGCCGACCCTGAGATGCCCAAACGCATGTACATCCACCCGGACAGCCCGGCCACGGGAGAGCAGTGGATGGCCAAGCCTGTGGCTTTCCACAAGCTGAAACTGACCAACAACATCTCCGACAAGCATGGCTTCGTGAGTGCTGGGCGGGCGCAGGGAAGGGGGTCGGATACAGCGCATCCGGTGCCGCAGGGGGTGGGGGCGGGAGAGCAGGCGGCGGGATTCCCCGGAGGGGAGCGCTGGCCGAACCCTCGGAGTGCCCCTGCTCGGGTCACTGCCCTGTGGCCTGTGCTGGCTGACGCTGGGCCCAGAGGGCTCCGCAGACCTGGGGAATGAAGGGGTTGTGGGGCGGTAAGCTCCAGGCTGCTCATAATCTCGGCTGGGGTCAGGCCTGCCAAAGCTCTTCCTAGAGCCCAGCGGGAGGCAGGTGCGACCGGGACTCATTTGTGCAGCCTCTGGTCTTTAACTGCTGAGCTTGGAAGTCCTGCCCCCGACCTCAGCTTTTCCTCGCCCTTCCCCTTGACCCCTGTCCCCATTTCCCCCCCAAACTAGGAGATTCAAAAGTTAAACCAGCCCCCTTCACATCCTAAGACTCCTTTCCCTCCTCCCACAGGCAGATGCCCCACCAGGAGGAGGGAGTTTGGGGGTTCTCTCCGTTTCTGCCTGAGCCAGGCCCCCAGTGAATGGGAGGGGGGAGTTGATGGGGCAAAAGGGACTGCCCATTCAGAGGTAGGGCAGTCGTTGAGCCCCTGGAAGGTCCACATCTTCTCTCGGTGGAGTTACTAGGGGCTTAGCAATGAGCCCAGGAAGAGAGGTTAAGAGTGGAGTTTTATGGGGTTTTTATTTTGTTTTATTTCTGTTTTCAACTGGGGTAATTTTTTTAAGTGGAGAAAGAGAAACTGCGATAAAGAAAACTGAGAGGAGAAAATAGAAGAAAAAGAAATATAGGCAAGAAAAGGGGCAGAGAAGACAGGAGAAAATCACAGAGGGGGGGGTGCAGGAGGCAGACGAAGAAAGAGACAGAGACTTGCAAAGAGCTTGGGTCCCCAGGGAGTAGAAGTGCTGGGGCCAAAGGCCGGGGGCTTCCGGCTGACCCGCGCCCTCCCCACAGACGATCCTGAACTCCATGCACAAGTACCAACCGCGCTTCCACATCGTGAGAGCCAACGACATCCTGAAGCTGCCCTACAGCACCTTCCGCACCTACGTGTTCCCGGAGACCGACTTCATTGCGGTCACTGCCTACCAGAATGACAAGGTGCGCTGGGTGGGCAGCGGGCCCAGGCCCTGTACCGACGCCCCCTTACACCTGCAGGCTCCAAGCCATCACTCACATCTGCCCCAAGCCGCCAGGACCCACCCTGCGCCCTCACAGCTCACTCCCCAGCACCAAGTCTTGCATCCGTAAACGCAGCACCCACCGAAATCCCCCAGGCTCCCTCCCAAGTCGGTGACACGTACACACAGGCTCCCCGGGCGCCCGAACAGCTGGGCGCTCGTTGGGGTGGGGATGTTTACTTAGCAATTAGCAGAGACTCCGGGACCGCGCTGACATTTTTACATTTTATTCGTTTATTTCTTGGCTCAGGGACGGGAATTTAAATGAAGAGAGGGAGCCTGAGGCAATCTGCCCTGGCTTCCTGGCGGCTTGGAAACCAGCGATAGGAACCCAGGGCCCAGTTTTCACTCTCCCAGGGGGTGCCAGAGGGCGGGACAGGTGACACAACTTCCCAAAGCACCCCCCCATCCGACCAGGCCCCAACCCCTTGGGAGGTGTTTAGAGACTTTTCCTCTAAGTTAAAGGGCTTTTTCTTCTTGCTGCCTTTCTACACTCTCTCTCTAGAGGGGCAGAGAAGCACTCCCTCTGGGCCTGTGCCCATGTGTACCCCTCTCCAGAGAGTGTCCAAGTGCCCTGCCCGTCATTCTTTTTGTCTTTGTGAGACGATGTGTATGCGGGTATGCGGGCAACCTTTTGGGCGCCTTGGATACGTGTGGAGGTGTGCGGATTCGTTTGGTTCTGTGGGCACTTGTTTGTTTTGTCTGTGTGTGCTTGCGTGTGCGCAGGCCCGTGGGTGTGATCTGTGCCTGTGGTGTGGACTTGCGTGTGCTCTGCTGTCCCTGTGCGCGCCTGCTCAGATGCCCGGTTTGTTTAACTTGAGTGACCGAGTGGCCCTGGGTGCATGCTTGGGCAGATCTCTGCTCTGCGCACAGCTTTGGACTTGTGTGTAGAAGGTAAGAGAATATGCCTCGAATAAAGTTTTTGGAGGAGAGACCCCCGTGGCTTCCCGCGAGGCCCGCCGGCCTCACCTCGTCCTCCAGCTGGGAGCGTCCTATCCCAGGCGGGCGGGTACCAAGCGGACCTGCGCGGGTCTCTCCTCTGGGCCGGCCTCCTCTGACCTCGGGGTGCCCCAGGCCAGGCTGGAGGAGCCGCTTCCTGACCTGGCGCCGCCCCCTCCGTCCCCCCCGCAGATCACGCAGCTGAAGATCGACAACAACCCGTTTGCCAAGGGCTTCCGGGACACCGGGAATGGCCGGCGGGAGAAAAGGTGAGGGGTGAGCCAGCCGGCTCCACGGAGGGTGCCTAGGCGAGCAGGACGCGGGGCTGTGTGCGCGCGCCTCTGACCCGCTCCCTCCGCTCATCCCCAGGAAGCAGCTAACGCTGCCGTCCCTGCGGCTGTACGAGGAACACTGCAAGCCCGAGCGCGACGGCGCGGAGTCGGACGCCTCGTCTTGCGACCCTGCCCCCGCGCGGGAACCGCCACCCTCCCCGGGGTCAGCGCCTAGTCCCCTGCGCCTGCATCGAACCCGAGGTGAGGGTCGGGTGGTCGGACGGGGGTGGGGGTGGGGGCAGGGTGGAAGGGAGGGACTCCTCAAGGCGCCGGGCTGGCTCTTTGCTCAGCGTCGGGTAACCGGGTAACCGTCAGCAGTGTGTCTGGGACGGGGCATCCGACCCAGGCCTTCCCTGGGAGGGGCGGTCCCCCGTAGCTAGACGATCTGGCTGGACTCCGAGCCAGGCCCCGGGCGCTGTGTGACTCTGGCAGTGAGTTTCCTTTACACGGCTCCGTTTCTCCAGCTCTAAATACGGGGCCTGAGATTAGGTGACCTGCAGCTGCCCCCTGCCCGACGAGGATCTAGAAGCTCCTCGGAGGCGGCTTCCCCGAGAGCAGGCCTTTCCCAGTCTCTCCGACCCGGCCCAGACGCCGGGGGAGGCCTCGCGTCTGTCTCCTCCCGGGCCCCTGTGACCTCGCGCGTCCTCTCTCCCCCGCAGCCGAGGAGAAGTCGTGCGCCGCGGACAGCGACCCAGAGCCGGAGAGGCTGAGCGAGGAGCGCGCGGGGCCGGCGCTAGGCCGCAGCCCGGCCCTGGACAGCGGCAGCCCCCCTCGCTTGACCGAACCTGAGCGCGCCCGGGAGCGGCCCAGCCCGGAGAGGGGCAAGGAGCCGGCCGAGAGCGGCGGGGACGGCCCGTTCGGCCTGCGGAGCCTAGAGAAGGAGCGCGCCGAAGCGAGGCGGAAGGACGACGGGCGCAAGGAGGCGGGCGAGGGCAAGGAGCCCGGCCTGGCGCCGCTGGTGGTGCAGACGGACAGTGCGTCCCCCCTGGGCGCCGGACACCTGCCGGGCCTGGCTTTCTCTGGCCATCTGCACGGGCAGCAGTTCTTCGGGCCGCTGGGGGCCGGCCAGCCGCTCTTCTTGCACCCGGGACAGTTCGCCATGGGCCCCGGAGCCTTCTCCGCCATGGGCATGGGTCACCTGCTGGCCTCGGTGGCGGGCGGCGGCGGCAGTGGTGGAGGAGGCGGGCCAGGGGCCGCCACCGGGCTGGACGCAGGCGGGCTGGGTCCCGCGGCCAGCGCCGCAAGCACTGCTGCGCCCTTCCCTTTCCACCTCTCCCAGCATATGCTGGCATCTCAGGTAAGGCCTGTGATCTGGAGGGAGAAAGAGCGAGGTGGGCACAGGGCCCGAGGGTGCCACGGGGGCTCTGAGCTTCCCGCGGGCAATGACTCTGTCCTGGCAAGACCCGATGGACACTCTCCAGGACACCTAGATGCAGGGAGACTAAGACTGTAGGTCTAGGGTCTGGCCAGGGCACTGTTTCTGACTCGTGTGTGACTCTGGACAAGTCCCTGACCCTCTTTGGGGGTCCCTTCCCTATGCCTCCAGCACCGAGTGGCACCCATTAGACTCTTCCTCTGACAGACTGGATCTGCCTCTGGGTTTTGTGAAGTCCACTTTCCTGGCCTCAGGACGCTTCTCTTGGAAACAAAAACTCTTGGCTCACTGTAAGTCCCTGAAAGGCTTAGATGCCTGGAAAAAGGGAGTAGGAAAATTTGCAATATTTTCTGGACAATCGACCACCACAATGACCCACCTCTCAGATGCCTCTGGCGCCTTTCAGGCCCTCCAGGAAGTCCTCTGACCTGACAAAGAACAGGACTGTTCCTTCCCCCCCCCCCTTGGGTCTCCCAACTCCTCCAGCCACACATCTGAGGGAAGAGGGGCTCAGTTCCCCAGGCCCAGGCTGAAATTCTGAGCTCCCAGGGGAGACTTTATGAAACTGGCCAGCAGCAAAATACGGAGATCCAACGGGGAGAGCGGCCTCTTTGGTTGCTTGGGTGGAATATTCCCTGTGGAAAGATTTGGAATCTCTACATTCATTTTCTTCCCTCTGAGGTTTCTGGCAAATTGAACCCTTGAGATCTTATCTTAAGGGAAGGAAAATAGGAGTTCAGGTCTCAGAAGGCTCCTTTGGTTCAGAAGCAGATACTTTGGAAGTGGGGGAGGGCGTTCTGAAATGGGTTTTTCGGCGTCAGGGATGTGTGGAGTGAGGGAAGCACTCACATCACGTGTATCTGTGGCTCTGAGATGGCAAGGCAGCCTCTGGAAAATGGAGCTCAGGGCTTGGAGGTTTAATGTGCATCCTTGATTCTGTGTGTATGCGAATGCCTCCTCCCCAGCATGGGTCATGGGGAAGTCAGGGCTTCTAGGTACAGCCTGGGCAACAGGTGCAAGACCAGGTTGAGAGTAGGCACTCAGGAGGCATCACTGGGTATCCTGCTAGTGGTCACCTTCCTGTGCCAGGGTAGCCTGGCCCTGGCCATCCGGTAGAGCCAGCTTTGGGGAGGTCTGAAGCCTCCCTCCTTCCTCCCCACCTGAGATGCCAGGATTGAAAGCCCAGGAGGGCTTGACCTTCTCGGGAAGGATATTTTCTCACTCCTGACTAAGCTACTTCTTTCCTGCTCCCTGCTTGAGCCAGGCCCGAGGCTCCCTGGAAGCCCAGCGCAGTCAGCTCCCTGCACTCCTCCCCATACCTTCATACCCTGGGGAGTGAGCCATTATCTCAAAGGTCAGATAATCCAAAAGTCGGGCCTCACGGACTCAGACGGTGTTTAGCCAGGGTCTCCTGGCTACTGTGCTCTCCACAGGCAGACTTTGAATTCCTTCCTCAGTAGCCACTGAGGTGCCGCCAGGAGTTCTCTGTAGAATATCCAGGCCAGTTTATAAGCGGATTGGCATCTATGCTCTTCTCCTGGCCCAGGCAGGAGATCCCTGAGCAGGCAGGCAGGTAAAAGGAGAATTTACAGAGCTCCTCCCCTCCCTTGCCTGTGCTTCCTCAGTCCTTTGGGGGGCACCTGCAGAAAGCAGGGCTGGGGAGGACACTGCTCCAAGTGAGCAGAACCGCCCAAGACAGCCAAAGCTGCCGGCTTGCCACCTGGCTCTGTGCCTGCCCAGTTTCCTCCGTCGAGGCCTTTGCCTAGTTCGGCCACCTGGCCTGTCTTTCCCTCACTCGTACTGTAATACCTGGCACAGAGCTGGACGGCGCCAGACCTCTGCCTCATCACCCGAAGTGGGCTCCCTTCTAACGGGGTTTGGCCCCAACATCCTGGCTCGTGCCTACCTGTGCTGCTTGGGGTTACAGTTCTGGGAGCTCTGGGCTTCTATTCCTAGAACTGTTGGGTGCTGGTAGACCACCCCCCAGCCCCCAGCTTCCCCTCAGAACACCTCAGGCAGGATGCCTAACCCTCGTCTTGTTCTGTTTCTTTCAGGGAATCCCAATGCCCACTTTCGGAGGCCTCTTCCCCTACCCCTACACGTACATGGCAGCCGCTGCGGCCGCGGCCTCTGCTCTGCCAGCGACCAGTGCTGCGGCTGCAGCTGCTGCCGCCGCCGGCTCCCTGTCCCGGAGCCACTTTCTGGGCAGTGCCCGGCCCCGCCTGCGTTTCAGCCCCTACCAGATCCCGGTAACGCTCCCGCCCGGCGCGAGCCTCCTCACCACTGGGCTGGCGGCCGAGGGCTCCAAGGCTGCCGGCGGCAACAGCCGGGAGCCCAGCCCGCTGCCGGAGCTGGCTCTCCGCAAGGTTGGGGCCCCTTCCCGGGGTGCCCTGTCACCCAGTGGCTCAGCCAAAGAGGCGGCCAGTGAACTGCAGAGCATCCAGAGACTGGTGAGTGGGCTGGAGAGCCAGCGAGCCCTCTCCCCCGGCAGGGAGTCGCCCAAGTGAGGGGGCTGCCCAGCGGCTCCGCTGCCACGCAGACCTCCCGGGCTGCCTGCCCCTGCTGCTTGGCACGTGTACAGCACAGAATGGGTATTTATTTACATAAAGGAGCAAAAGCGGGCTGCAGCAGCCGGAACAGAGGCCCGCCCGACCAGCCAGCCAGGGCCTGGGACATTTCCCTGGGCCTCACAAGGAACCCAGCTGCCGGGAACGCAGTCGCTTAGGAGCCACTGGTCATGGTCCAGATCTGCTCCAGTGGCAAGGTGGCATTGGCCAGGGGCCCCTCTGGGTCCTCCGGCGCTGTGGGCAGGCCTCATCGCCCCACCCAGCGGCCTCTTCCAGAGCCAGAAGGTGCAGGAGTCAGGGATGGGAGCCTCGGAGAGAAGCCCAGAGCCCCTAGCCTTGGGCCTGGACCGCTTGAGAATCTGCAGTGAGGGATGCTGGGCTCAGTGAAGACTGAAGTCAGTGTAGACTTGAGCTGGGAGGGACCTGTTCTTTTAGTCCTCCCACTTCTTCCCCCAAAAAGACAGGCGCCCCTCCCACCCCTGGGTCAGCGGAGGGAGTGGCACTTCTGCCTTGAGTCCCCAGGGAAAAAAAAAAAAGATATTTATGAAATAAATGGTAATTTGTGTAAATAAGCTTTAAGGTTCCCAGAATATGCAAATTGGTATTAATTTATTCAAAGGTGTACATTGCTGTGTACATAATATCTAGAGATTAATTCATAGCATTTAAAATTTCTTTTCATTTTACATGAGCATCTATATTGTACAGGGCTTGGGGGGGGGGGTCCTTGGCTTCGGGAGAAGCCCCGACCCCCGGAGGAACTCCCACCCCGCCAGCCCCTCGGCCCCTCCGCCCGGGCTTTGCTCGCCCGGCCCGCGGGCTCCACCTCAGGTTTTCACTTTTCGCTACGGAGCGAGACGAAAAGACAAAAACGCGAGAAAACAATAAAACGCTGCAATGCGAAGTGAACGGCGCCGTGCGCTCTGTGGGCCGCGTGGGGCAGGGGCGCAGCAAGCGCGTAAGGAGGGACTGGAGGCGGGGACAAAACGTTGGGCGCCCCCTGCTCGGCGGCAGCTGCACCCCGGGGGCGGGAGCGGGCTGGGGCGGCCGGCGGAGCTGCGAGGCCCG